TTTTTTTTTTTTTTTGGGAATGAAAACAAATTTCATAACCAGTTCTAAATTTTTTTTTTTTTTTTCACTTTAATGGACTATTTTCATGTAAAATAAAGCCAAACGAACACTAAATTTTGATAAAAAAATTATTTTTTAGGAAATATTTTTTTTCATTTTTTTTTACTTTTTGACAATGGAAACAAATTTTATAACCAATTATGAAAATAATTATCACTTTAATGAACAATTTCCATATAAAACAAAGTCAAACGAACACAAAATTTAAAAATTTTTCAAGTGAAAAATTATAACGATCAAACACACTTAATTAACAATTCCCTACAAAACATTTTCTGGGCGATTACTTTCCCCGGAATTCATTTTCTTTTTACCAATTTCCCACAATTACAATCAAACGGACCCTAATTGTCGTTGTTCAGTGTCAGGGTTGACCGACGACATTATTCTATATGCTACACAAGACGTTATCATTTTTTTCATAACAAATTTGTAGGCCAAAAAAGATGTATGGATTTAATATGTGTGAAAATTATGTTGACTATGATTATACACTAAATTTTAGGTCTTTTTAACACGTACAAATAATCCCTAAGATTAGGAGTGAGGACGATTTGATTCCTAAGAGAATCAAATCAAGACAATAATTATCAAGTATCTTGCAAATAGAACCATCACATCTAGTTATAACTATAAAATTGAATCGTTCAATTCGCATCATAATTAAACTTTTCATTGTTCCATTGTTCCAAAAACTACTTTCATCCTCTTAATACAGCACGAAAACCTAACAAATGATATATTCTATCTTACAATATAATAAAAACAGTCCAATTTAAAAATACAAATAACGATACTTGTCGAGTAAAAACCCATTCACTAGTGTATACAAATGACCAAAAAGTAAATAATAATAGCAAAATTAGGCGATTTTCTTTTGGAAAAAAGAGCTTTAATTATCAAGATTATCAAATAAAATTTAAGAGGATAATTTTTCGTTCTTGCGTCTAGAATCAAGAACTAAATCAAATCTTTCTGTTGCCGATTGTAATATACATCACCCAATTTTACTTGAAAAATTAAATCGAATTACGATTCAAATTTTAACTCGGTATGATTTGATTTGAGACTTTTATCTTGTACCTTTGGAATTAGTGACACTTAAATGTCACTTAATGCCGATATAAAGAGTTTTATGTTAATTTTCTTAATCAATTATCATAAAAAATATTAGTTTAGAGCATGTTTGAGCACATTTTTTTATCGAATGCATTTTGAAATACTATTTTAATGAAGAATGTGTCATTAAAAAATAAGGAAAATTTTGAGTTTGTGTGTAATATTATTTTATTAAAAAATATATAATTGAGAATAAGAGAGAAAAATATATTTTGAAAATAATGTTGAAATTTCTTAATCAGAAAAATAAAATATTCAATTAATTTCACCCTGGGCGCGTAGGTTCAAATCCGTTTTATGGTCAGTGCCAGCTGCACAGGTTTTTGCTCAATGAATACACCAAGGTCCCTGCTGCTTTGTGCTTTGGGCTCTTGACTCTTTCTCCGTAGAGAGAATCTCTTATTCAGTTAAGAATTTCTCATTTTCTCTCTCTCATTTCTCCCTTTCTCTGTCTAATATCTCTAATTCCTATGTAGGTAAATTTCCTGTATTTCGCGTGACCATTTGTTTTCCGTCTCTA